AAAGAAAAAAAAGGAAAAGGAAAAAAGGACTCCGGCACACCTAAAATGTATTTAACACCTACTTAGATTCTTGCTAGTTTCTTGCCGAAAAAAATAGCAGTACGGGACATAGCACAGATTTACGGCAAAAAAAACAACGATAGAAAATACAAGCGCCATCGGAGGAGGACAAATGGCGCTAATTGAAACTAAGTGAAGCTGCTCTAGCTCAGTTCTGTGGTGTACAAAGACGCATAAGGCATATGTTTTCCTGTGATCAATCGTTGCCCTAAAATGAGCACTTCAGTGAGCAATCAGGTGTAGTGCATCGTGTCTAAACAGTCCATGCAATTACACAGCTAAAGCTGAAAAAAATGCTTGGATCTCGAAGCGGCGGCGGATTGCAAACAACTACCAACACCTATGAAAAATTTAAAGCAATGCTTCCCAGGTGCAAATTTAAAGATGGCAAAATCGGCAAAATTTATTGGATCCACGACATTTCGAGAGAGCTCTTCAGTTACTGCCTGTCATTGCATAGCATGAATCACATAAGAGAAAATACAAATTGAATTCATAGAGAAAAATTGATACAAACAACAAGGTCACAAGAAATGGCCAAGAGGCTAATCAATAACTTGAGAAAGTTAAAACGCTATGGGCAGCAAAAACGGGGAAAGACGTCTAGGGGAAGAAGTTGGGAGGGGAAATGTGTAATGTTTAGTGAACCTAACTCTGTCGTGGTAAAATTGGCTCCCTGTTTACTCTCAACGGCAGACCTCCGATAGGTTTCGCCCGAGGAACGCATCTTCTTCTCTTAAGGTCATAATGTGATATAGTAGCTTGCTGGTGTGGGCTAAAATCTAGAAAAGTAGACCGGTAAAAACTCAGGGGCCGAAGTAGTAGGGCGAGAATGAGCCCACTGTCCAGGAACGACATAGGACTCTCTAATGCAGTCATAAAGCACAAGATTTTAAACATCATTAATAATGACTCGGGAGGTGGATTCCGCTAGTTGGTGCGGTTGGGGACTACAGAAGGAACGCAAAGGGAAGAACATCGACGTG